GAAGAAGGAGATCAAGGACTCCAAAGCCAAAGAGCGTCAGATCACGGGTGAGGGGCCGGGTTTTCCTCCTTAAACACATCCTGAGCGAGCTCCCTGCAGGGGCTGGGACCAGCCCGGGGGAAATCCAGCTGTTTGTGTCGTGTGGCTTTGGGGCATACTTCTTTTGTCGCCTCGGCAGAGGAGGATTTGCAGGGTAAGACAGAAGAGGAGATAGAGATGATGAAGATGATGGGCTTCGCCTCGTTTGACACGACGAAGGTGAGGGTGGCACGACAGGGCCCACAGCCAGCCCGGCGGGCACGGCCGGGGGCCGGGGGCCCCCGTGGGGGGGGGCTTTTTTCCCGGTGCCCCGTTTGGGGGTGACACTCCCAGTTCTGAGACCTTGGTTTTATTTCATGGCTTTCAGGGGAAGAAGGTGGACGGTGCTGCCAACGCGTACGCCATCAACGTGTCCCAGAAGAGGAAGTACAGGTTTGTGCCCAGCCCTGTTTCCGGGGGGACGGGGGTTTCCTTGGTGAGGTGAGGTGGTGTGGAGGAGCCTCGGCAGCAGTCTGGCGGGGCTGCTGCCCCCGGCGCGCGCAGGGGACGGTGGTTTGGCCTCCTGCAGGGCAGGATTCGTGGTTGTTGCTCTCACGTGGAGTGGGGAGGCCTCTGGTTTGTCTTGGAAATGGCGGAAGCAGAGCAGGGAGCGAGAGCGTGCTGTGCAGGGTGGGGTGTCCCTGGCGGGGCCTGGGCGGTGCTGGTGCCGTGGGGCTGCCCACACGGAGCTCTGGGCCCTGGGTCTTGCCAGTAAGAACACCGAGTTTGTTCGTTTGGCTTCTCTGGTGGTGGAAGGTTGAGGAGGTGCCCGGGCTGCGCTGCCGGGGTTCAGCTCCACACCTGCATTACCCAGCTGGGCACAGACCGGGGCCGGAGCAGAGACGGGAGGTTTCCTGCCCTTGGCTGTGCAAATCCAAGAGGAATTCGGGTTCCCGTGGGAAGTTTTGGGCCAGTTCCTGTGGGAAGTTTTGGGCCGGTTTCTGCAGGGCTGGGTCCTCTGTTGATCCCTCTCCCCCGGCAGGCAGTACATGAACAGAAAAGGAGGATTCAACAGGCCCTTGGATTTCATCGCCTGACGCGGGGCTGGCTCCGGACCACCCTCTGCACAGGCCTCGCTCCCGGGCGGCTCC